GGATTTAAAAGTCACGTAAAAGGTAAGCATCCTAATATCTTCATCACTGACAGAAGTTTAGTCTAGATAATAAGCAAAATGGAATAGAAATCACTTTCCTATCTAAATTTTTGTTTATTTTAAAACACAACATCTTGCCTTTATACTTGTGTTTGTGGTGAGATGATCTTTATGAAAAATATATAAAGTACTATTAGGGAGAAAGAATTTCTGGTTTTAGAAATGTAAGTTTAAGAGGCTCAGAAATTTCTTTACTTAGTTTCTAGAGTTGTGAATACATATGGACCACAGACTAGACCTGAAGGAATTCAAGGGTCAGGTCATAAAGCGAACAGCATGCTCCGAGATTGTGGTAACCAGGCCGTGGAAGAACGACTACAAAATATTGAGGCTCACTTGCGACTGCAGACAGGTAAGCTGGGCAGTGCCCCATAATGTATCTTTGCAAGTGGTTAAAGAAACCCCAGTTCCTTATAATCACCCAATTTTCACTGAACACCTTTCGTACAAAACATTGTTCTGGTTGGTACAAAAGTGAAAAAACTTTTGTACCTGCTCTCAAGGAATTTACAGTTCATGTGTTTCTGCTCTTCTTCCTCTTACACTTTTCACCAATTTGAGAGGGTTAGTAGAATGGGAACAGGCTCCGAATAGATCCTGACTCTCTCAGTTTATTTAAGTTAGAGCCGAAAACTAATATAGTCTTTTTCCTGCCATCAGTTTCATAACTTCACCATGACCATTTCTCATTCCTGTCACCCACGGTGTCAGGTACAAGGTATTGATAAATGTGATCATAGTCCTCAAGGACCTCGGTGAGGATGAGCATATATATAAATAACTGCATAGGGGAAGAGAAACTAGCATTTATTGAATAACACTAAGTGTCAGTCACCCTGAAAGTATTATGCATATGTCATCTCCCTTTATATTTAGCAGTGCCCTGGTGAAGTGTTGGTGCTGTTATCATTGTCAGATAAAGAAACTGCCCAAGGTAGTAAGTGACAACTAGAAATCAAACCTAAATCTTAACTGGCACTGCAAAACCTGAGTCTCCTTCCCCATTTAGTCACCAGATCCTGTTGATTCTGTCTTCAAACTATCACTCAAATCTATCCACTTCTGTCTACCTCCACAGCTCCTACTCTAGTTGAAGTCACTGTCTTCTCTACCTTAACTGAGAGAAGGATGTTAACTGGTCACTGTGCCACTGGACTTCCTCCTTGAGACGAATTCTCTACCCTGCAGCCAAGTTGCTGTTTCTAAAGCTCAGATTTGAGCTTGCTACTACTCCCCAGCTAAAAATTCAATGGTTTGCNATATTAGTTCAGTAACTGAACAGTATGACCTTGCTGGTTTCCAATTGAACATGTCTAATTGATGTAAGTTTGCAGTTTATCTCTAATCGAAATATAAAATATGACGTGTCAAAAAAGTAACTGGAAGAATTTTTTGGATTGGTCAATTTACTGCTGTTAAAATGTAGGCTTTCAGAAGTCTAGTATAGCAAACAATGGAAACAAAATTGTAGGTATGAAAAAATAATTGAAACATTGACAAGTGTTGGTGTGTTTTGATTAATGGAGTAATTTTGATTAATTTTTAAGCCTTCTGTTCAGTGACTTTGGGAAATTTTAACTCTGTTTCATGTTAGAAGTAATAGTTAACCCTAGTTTTAAAGGGCAGAAGCAATGAGCTATAGAACTCAATTGAGGCCTAATTATGATGGGGAAATGGGTAATATAATTTACATGATACCACAGGGTTTTTTCTCCTCTAGTATAGTGATAGGCATCTATCTCTTTTCAGCTATGGATCTTGATAGGTTTTTTTTTTCCCTAACTCATTTTCTTTTTAAAAATTTGATTTCATAACCCAAGAAGATATCCTGCCATGTCAGGAAAAGCCTGAGTGTTCACTCAGCATAACACCTATATATTTCATGTCTATGCTCTCTCATTCACTTTGGCCAACTGCAGTTTCAAGTGGAGATTCTCCGGTGATATAGTGATAATGCAGGGCTTTGCTGAGTGAGAGCACTGGCTCTCATGTTAAGGAGGAAAAATACTAAGCCTTAGTGTTCTGAGGAGGCATTTGAATGACATGTTAATTAAGTGGCATTGGTGCCAGAGGCTAAGGCTTTGATTTGGCACAAAATAAAAGATGAGTGACAGAATGATTCCCTCAAAGAAAATTTTAAATTTCCTCAGGTTTTCTTTCTCTTGCTTTTTTTTTTTTTAAAACAGATTTATAACAAAAGATAATGGTCACAGTAGCAGAGAACAGCAAACACGTGTGGTCAGATCTATGCATCCTGATATGCCAACTTTTTGTATTTAGCTAATTGATAGTAAATATTGCATTTACTTAGCAGAAATTTATATAAATATGTTAAATGTATAATTTTAATCAGTTTGAACCCCAGCAGATGGAATTGTGTTCTTCTCAGCCTTTTTTAGCAAAACTTCAGCCTCTGATTAAAGAGGAGAATACAGCTGTTGTTGAAGAGCTAGGAAAAACAGAAGCAGGGAACGAGAATGAAGTAAATGCCAAATTTCCCATTGGAGACCTACAAGAGGAAGAAAAGCACAAAGATTGTGATTTAGGAGATGTGAAAAAGACCCAGATCCATTTTGATCCAGAAGTAGTTCAAATAAAGGCTGGAAAAGCAGAAGTAAGTTTGGTTTTTTTGGGGGGGGAGGGGGGGTTACTATTTTTAAACTATTATGTTTGAATTGTTTAAACATGCATACTTATTGTTTATAGATTGACAGACGAATATCTGCATTTATTGAAAGAAAGCAAGCTGAAATCAATGAAAACAACGTCAGGGAATTTTGCAATGTTATTGATTGTAATCAAGGTAACTACCTAGAAGAAGTTACTTTTCATAGGATTTTAATAATAGTTTTTACAGTTGCTCTGATCTTTCATTTTTTTAAAAAAAAATAACATTAAGAACACAATTTAGTTTATACAGATTTGTTTAGAAACTAAGACAGCAGAATTTCCTGTTTAATAATAGACTATTGCAAAATGGTTTTCATTTTGGTAACACAAAAATCAAATAAATGTTAACATAAAAGGCTAATGTTTACCAGAGGTGAAAAGATTGTTTTAAAGTTCCTTTAGGGAATGA